CCTTTATACTACAACCAGAATTTAAAACTAATGAGAACCTTTTACCAAAAGACATTGGTATAAACAAATACAACTCTTTAATGTGACATAACATTACACAACTGGATTTTCTACAGTGTTAGGATTGTATTTTGATGAAAATTGTATTTTGATGTACTGTGGCCAAAATGAACAGTTTAAAAGTCATCAAAGTGGAATTTTTCACTTGAAAATAAAGAAACCAGACTTCTCAAGGTACTCCATTGCCAGTCAAAGAACTGGCTTACTGTCTTATCTGTTTCTTAGTGTTGAGGACAGTGCAAACATCTATAAGTAAACATTAAAAGGTCTCATCTAAGGTGATTTTCGATTGGTGGCCTACTATTTGAAGCACAGAATGATATACTGATGTAATACAAAATTGAAGCATCCCTAGAAATATGCAAGAACCAGGTTATGAGTTACCTGTTATTAGTCTAAACCTTTGCTAGTGGTCCTAGTGATGAATTTGTGTTGATCTTCAACTTTTTATATTTTTGTTGAGTTTGGTTTTATTGTAGAGTTTTTAATCAGCACAATCTTACACAACTTGTAGCATCCAGGGGACCCAAAAGGGCTTTTGTTTTATTCCTTTAATTGTTGCTACTTTTCCATGACAAGAACTCACACCTAGGCCAATAATTGTCCAGAGAACAAATCAAAGTGAATGGAGTTAAGAGCATTATCAAATCAATTTCAAATTGATCTTTACTGTTGTTCTGAGCTCTTGTCTGCCTGCTCTCAGTCCTGAAAGAGAACAGAACATAATGGACAACAGTCAACCCAGTGAGGTGGAGTAGCCAATGATGATATCACTGGAAAACATGATTGGACACAGTAGGGGAATAAATAACACTTGACAGCTCAGGACACATCTGCAGTGAGCAGCACAGCCTTAACCTCAGAGGGCAAAGAAAAGTATCTCTCATCAGGATAGAGGACAAATAAATATCCAGCCTGGTGTACATCAGTGGCATAGACTTGCCAAGAAAGAACTTGACATTCTCTGGTCACATGGGTGCACCAAAATGACTTAACTTGCACAAGAAAGACTCAAAGAACCAAGTAAAGCCAAAGAAAATGTAATGTTAAATATTTCGGTGGATCAGCACTGCAATACACCTGGAAAAATCTTACATAATTGAAAAAAACTGAACTGTAGAGAATTGGGCTTTTAGGTAGAACACACCTATCTCAAAAAAGCTGCATGAGACATCTCGTCCAGCTATCGCTTAATAAGTCTCTGTACAGAGGCATAGACAAAGGAAGGGCAACACAAAGGAATGATCTGGAAAGCAGGTCAAGGAAGGTGAGGCTCCCCCTCCATTCTCCCACCTGGACTAATGTGTCCAGCTCTGGGGTCCTCAGTACAAGAAAGACATGGTTGGACCTGTTGGAGCAGGTCCAGAGAAGGGCCACAGAAACAGTCAGAGGAATGGATCACCTCTCTTATGAGGAATGGCTGAGAGAGTCGATATTGTTTAGCCTGGAGAAGAGAAGGCTCTGGGGAGACCTTACTGTGCCCTTTCAATATTATAAAGGGGGAGTATAAGAAAGAGGGAGAGGCACTTCAGGGTCTGTAGTCAGACCTTGAAGGGGCAATAGTTTTAAACTGAAAGACAGGAGGTTTATCTTGGACATAAGGAAGAGATTTTTTTATGATTAGGGTGTTGAGACACTGGAAAAGGTTTCTGAGAGATGTGAATTTCCCACCCTTGAAAATGTTCAAGTCCAGGGTGGATGAGGCTCTGAGCAACCTTGTCTAGTGAAAGGTTCCCTGCCCATGTCAGGGAGGGGTTGGACTAAATGATCTTTAAATGCCCCTTCCAACCCAAATCATTCTATGATTCCATAATTATATGAATCAATTTCTAATAGCAGAGTGCTATGGTGAAATCTATGCTGAGTTTTCTTGCAACCTTTGTGGAGACATAGTGTCTCTATTCCTGGTACTGCATTGATGGACAGATGAATTTTTAAGGGAATGACTCACCATGATCATACAGAAACATGGTAATAGGGTCTCACTTGGTTGTACCCTAATTTATCATATCTTTCACCTTATGTCTTTCTACCGTTGCATGGACAGCTGGTCTGGAAAGCAAGCTATTAATCAATCTCTGATGGTCAGAGGAAGCCAGTAACAATTCTTATTCAAATCATTTAGGTTGTCATTCGTGTTTCTCGTTTCAGCATGCATTCAATCTGAAAACATGGGTGGTGTTTCTTTGTGCTTACCGGCACTCAGTGCTCACTGTCAGACCCTGCACATTCACAGAGTCCAGTTTATATTTCTCCAAAGATAGATTTACTACCAAGGGCTTATGTATTGACAGTGATTGCCTAGGTAGCAACAGTGGTAGAAAAATAGTAATGAAAAGAGGACAAGAAAAGAGGAAGGAATAAGCAGTCAGCAAAAGGTGTCAAGAAGTTCAGGCTGAGATGGAAGCATGGACAAACCCAAAAAGAGGAGAGGGAGATATGTTTGCTATTAGTGCAAAATTAATGAGAGAAGTTCAGTGAATAGATAAGTTGCAAAATAAGGTTAAAATTGGTAGAATATCCAAAAAAGAGAGATAGGCAAAGTATGGTATACCAAAGGAAATGTTCAAAATGTTATCAGGAAAGAAAGGGATAGCCAAGAAAAACATCTGACTATTACTAAAGAGTAGGGTAAAAGCTATCAGTAACACTAGAGGCTCTTGAGGATCTGAAAAGAAAAACAGTGACAGAAATTCCTACATTTGGTCAGAAACTGTGGGAAGAGACATTTCAATGAAACTGCAGGAAAGATGAAAGAAAATGAGTAATGAGTAAATGGTTCATATTATGAGTTTGAAGGTGAGGGAAGGTGAGGGGAGTTCAGTTGCTAAATGATGAGTGAACAGACACCTGCAACTGATGAGGACCCTCTGAAGATAAACATTTCTGTACTTAGTGCTTACACCTAAATAGGTGTTCCCCTTAGTTATTGGGGTGTGAGGTGGCCTCTTGAGGTAGGTGGATCAGAAGCACAGACATCCAGTGTCTACTGGATGGTCAAAAAAATAATGTTGCAGGATATGACAGCAGCAAAAAAAAAAGAAGGAAAAAAGTAGAAAGAATTAAAAAAAAAAAAGTAAGGAAAGAAAGAGAGAGAGAGAGGATAAATGAGGGAAGGAGCCATTTCAGGGCTCCAGCAGCAAAGAGAAGGAAAACTGATGTATGGCAGAGAACTGCATGATTAATTTGAATCTCAGCACACTTCATGTGGAAGAACCAAAAAAGTGCAAACAAAGAAACATTTCAGTGGCATGAAAACAGAACCAGAGGAAGGAGAAACCAGTTCTTATCTGTAAAACAATGAAAGAAAGAATGAAATCATGCAATAACAACAATATAAGAACATACTTGAAGGAGTAAATTACAGCCAAATCTAGAATAAACTGAAAAGATCTCAAATTATATTTATAAATATAATAGAACAAGAAATGAAATACCAATATTACAAAAATAACCTGTCTCTCTTTTGTATTTGTTGCTCCAAAATGAGGAAAATAAGCTTAAAGCATATGGATTGCAAATAATTCGTTCATTCATTTCTGCTATTCTTTTTGGACAAAGCAATTTAGACTAAAGGAGAGACTTTATTCAGGTAAAAGTGTAATCTAGACTGTCTTCTTGTGAACAATAGAAAATTGGACACTGGCTCAGGTGTTGAGGTGATTATTCATTTAAGTGTGAGGTGTTCTAGCCAGCATTAAAAATCAAAATTATCTCTGCATTCCTCCTAAAAAGGAAGAATGGAATTCTTGTCTATATTTTTCAAAATGTGCAATATCATTAGCAATATTAACACTGAAACACTGTTGTTGAATAATGTAAAATATGAGTGATATTAACAGAAGAGATATTTTTAAGCATGAATGATAATGAATTTTGGTTCCAAACTATTTAGTTGATAATAAATATCACATAGCTTTTCAGTGCTTTTCTGCACTTTTATGTCCTTTATACAAAATTAAATTTCAAAATTATTCTTTTCCTAGACATTCCTATTACAGAATTACTCTGAATGTTATAAATTATTATTATGGCTGTTTAGATATTCAAATCACAATTTTCTATATATATCTACAATCCGCATGGAAGACAGCATGAAGAAATATTTACTGTAGTCAAAATTGTTAATGTACACAAGGATCACAAAACAGTATGTTTTTTCTTACATAGAAATAAGGATTATAATACAATGTGTCATTGTTCATACCAACTACTTTATCAATATTTAGAATCAAAGAATCATTTTAAAAATAAAGCCAGTAAGACCTAAAATGACAGCAGTTAAGATAAATACTACTCGCCTCCTTTTGAAATACCATGTAAATATATATATATATTTACATATCCAAAACTACCTGAGTGAGGTTTTCACAGTCAACACTAAAATAAACCATCTATATCTTCAATTGCTATGACACTGTCCCTCAGACATTTTAGATTCTTTCACGATATATTTTATGATTTTTTTAGAAAACATAGTCACTGTCAGTGACTATGAGACATTTAAAATTTTTTCTGGTCATTAATACCTCTAGGTACGTTACAACATAGCAAAACATCAGGTGTACTAAACACAAAGTAAAATTACCTAATATTTCAGGTTCTTCTTCAAATGTCTTCAAATGTGTTCTTCTCTAATGGACATTGATAGAATTTGGATATCCTACAGCACTTACATTTATGCCACTAATTTTATTTAATCGACTTCAGTGTTAGTATTTCTGAAGTCTTAAAATAAATATTCACTAACATACTCAATATTTCTAGAGATTGTTTCTTACAAAAATCTGCAATCTATTAATAATAATTAATTATGCCAATCGTATATAGTGACATTATGTTATAAAATCAAGCAGAACAGAAAGTTATAAACTGTCAAGATTTAGTTATGCTATTGTTATTTTATGTTATGTTCTTATTTTTATTAAGTGAACACATACCCCCACAGACATCTCCTTCTGCATTTTCACACTGTCGATCATCACATTCACAGTTTTTGCCATGAACTCTGTTGTCTCCTGGAGGGAAACAAGTGCATTGGCCACATTCACATCTCCCTGTAAGAATAAACAGTTGATAGAGTCATTTCAGTGAAGTAAAATAAATTAAATGAAAACCTAAATTTATTCTACACTCTACCCCCCAAGACAAACTACAAGTCACCCTGTATTAGTTGAAGTGTGTACATAAACATGATTAAAAAAACCCAAATCAAACAAAAAACATAGCAAACCAAAACTATTCCTCCTCCATGGCAACCAGAAGGACAGTATGTCACTGATATATCTTAGTGGAAACAGTAACAATAAGGAATCATTGGCATTGCATCCTTTTCATATCTGAACTTAGTATAACTGAGCTATGGCCCATGCTTATCTGCATAATTAACCTCTATAATTGATCTAAAATATTTAGCACAAACCTCAGAAACTCCAATATTAATATGATCAGAATTAAATAGTCTCCGCACAGGGTTATCTAAGATACTCTCTATTCATGCAGAAACATAACTCATCAAATACTCTGCCAAGCACTTCGAAAGCACAAATGCCTATAATTTTTCTTGTCTAGATCTCAGGAAACAGAAGTCAAAAGCACAACCTTTGTCAGTCTCCCCTTCCATCAACCTATTTACAGGAGAGCTCCCCAGAGCTTAAAGGGCCAACGGATTTATCCAAGCTCCAACAGATCTTCCACTCCAAAACCCTCAGTGTTGAAAGTGCTAAATAGTAATAGTCAGGTGTGAAAAAAATTAATGTCAGGGACAGTCTTACATTGCATATATCTGAGACAATCTCATTTCAGGTAACACTGGTACTAACTTCTAAGGGTTTGCCTCTGTATGTTTTTAAATTGTTTCAATGCAATACTGGTGTGAGAATGTTCTAAATATGACCCAAACCATGGACAAAACTAATACATTTGGTGGGAAAGACTATTATGTGTAAAAAAAACCCACCAGAGACATGGATTAGGATGCAGAAAAGCCTGCTCCTCTTGATTTAACTTAATCACAGCATGAATGAGTCTCAGCCTAGGCCTGCCCACTGCTCTACTGACTGAATCCAAATTTACTGCAGGAGCAAATATTTCTAGAAACTAAAAAACAATTCTTCAAGTGCAGCCTTTCATTATGTAACCAGATCGTTAACCACACACTACATTAATTTTTTTAGCATTTTCGGAAATATTTTGCTGAATGAAAACCTTAATGGAGGTTTTCTAACTGTAAGTTTTGTGACAATAAAACCTTTTAGGTTAACCTATTGGCAGAGAATTCTTAATATTTTTTTCCATAATGTAAATTTATTATATTTATTTGGGAGGTTTTGTTTTAGTTTGATTTGGTTTTACTTAGGTGTTTGTTTGTTTGTTTGTTTTTAATAGTCTAATTCAGTTGGAGTAGTGGGGGATCTTATTAGTAATGGAAAAAAATTCTCAGTTCATTTTATAGCTGCTCTAAGCCTCAAATATACCTTTGAGCTGACCTTCTATATGCCAGAATTCAATCTAGAAGGACATAAAGTGCAAGAATTTTTAAAAAGTCATGCTGATAAAGAGAATTAGAGCAAATACTTCATGATAACTTTATGATATACATAGTTTAAAAACTATGCTGCATTGGCAATTATATGGGGATATTCCTTCCAGAAAGAAACTTATAGGAAGTGCATCTACCACATCACTAAATACAGTTGTGTTTAGTAATCATGTCAAAAATTAAGATATGATTGTCTACAGAAGAATTGATGTTGTTTGTCTTCATTGTCTTAACTGTAACTATTTGTCAGGGAGAGCCAAATTAGAAATTGAAAAAAAACAATTCCTTAGTACTTAAATATACAGAGAATTTTAATGAGTCTAAGTTGTTACTATTTAGGGCTCTCCACCATGCGTCCACCTTAGACAACATGGTTGTTTTTACAAATATGTCACATCACGGTGTCCCAAAGAACAGTTTGTCACCCATGGGCAGAGAAGTACCTGATGAACAGGACCCATCTGCTGTGAAGACTCTATAAAATAAACAAAAAAGAGTCTTTAACAGTGGTACCCTGGTCAGCTATTGCTATAATAAAGAGGATGCCTGAAGGATAATAAAATCAGTTTAAGCAAAAGTTGCTTTGATGAGAGGAGTCATCAGAGATGGAAAATCCTCCAGAGGAACGAGCAAAGGAAGGCCCTGTAATGAGGATTCTGCATGTTCTGTAATTAAGCATTATCTTCTGTAATGCTTAATTTAATAAGCCAGAATGACCTGAGAGTCCAGTGGCCAGTCACTTACGCTGCAATGGGAACAGGTTCCTCTCGGTCCTTGCTGCAAGTAATGTTTATTCATTTTATGTAACGTGCAACAGTTTCACCAGCAGAAAAATGGAAGGATGCCCATCCCCAGGCAGATAGGGTACATTTTTTCAGGTAAGAGATACAAGCTCAAAGGGAATTTAGGTCTTACTTTCTCAGTCTTCTCAGCTAATGAACAAAGCACAAACACATATATTCAAAAAGCCTGAATTATTTGTTAATATCTGTGCTTCATATTTTATTTTGCCTGGTTCCCACCTAAGTTCAGAGTATGGTTTAGATCATCTGACTGCAGACATCAGCAGAACTGAAAGTGTCTTGAAAATAGACAAAAACCTCAGTCAGCAAGTGCTCTAGAAAAGGATTTCTGATTTCTCTGAACTGTTTCTTCACTTTTAAATATTCAAAGATACAGTTATAGTAGCTTAGTACACCGCTGTTGTTTATCATTCCTTTACTTTCACACATGTTACAAGATCAGCACTAGAAACAAGGTTAATTAATTTAGTGGTGGCACTTAATAATTGCAACTTTTTACTGGCTTCAAAATAATATTTTGCCTCCAAAAGTACTGAGATTTTGGTTAGATTGTGTAAGGTAGGCTCATTCTAAGGAGATAGTTTAACTGAGAATTAAAGTCCTATTGATTCTGAACAGCTAACTGCATATGATGTATCTGCTACTGAAATATCAGAAGGCACACCTTATTCTGTGATGTTCTTCTCTTATTTATTGTGATAAAACACTTACCAAATAAATTCAATCATTCAAAAATAATTTGAAGCTCACATTGTACTGAAAAGGATAAGCACCTTACTAAACATGCTCTTTCTTTGTATAGAATAATATGTTTACCATAGCAACCTGATTATGCAGGGAAAGCCAAACACATCCTAAATTCTCTTTAAATTCCAGGACATACAGAAACAATTAAATACAGGATTACTATAATATTCTGCACCTTCTCAACCTTCTGTGCAAGAGCTACACTTGAGTAAAAAGAAATCAGTTGACCTCAGACATTTTACAGCAAGTGGTATCCACTCCTCCTAGCTAAACAAGGAGAGTAAATGTCATAATCTGATGGCTTCAGATGAAGGGAGCTTTATGATGGAGGTTGTATTAGCTATTAGTGTTGAAAAGCTTAACCTACCTATTGCAATGCAAGGTTCTAAGAATAGAATAATTATACAAGACATTTATTTGCCCTCACTTTTAGTATTTTCTCACACTTTTTCCTCCCATTGATGTCAGAAGGAGTATTAAATTATTCCTAATAATTGTTAGCACTTGAAGATTGAAAAAAGGATCAGTTTAGGTTGGGTTTTTTTGTTTTTAAAGGGAATTGAGGTGCCATATCTCATCAAAACACATTAGTTCATTAGATAATTGACTCTAGAATTCTAAAAAATGCCTTTTGATTTTATTCACCATTTACTACAGCATTTTTTCATTCCTCATGTCCAACGTTTATGAAAGCATAACTAAAGTAAACAGTGTCTAGATTTACATTAAACCTGTTCCCACGCAAATTGCTGTGACCATTAGCTGCATGCATTCAAACCAATTCCAGCTGCCTACATAGACTGACTGAAAATCTCCTTTGTACAGGTAATTTTCATTTTAAAAGACTGTGATAGAAGTATATAATTTGTGTAATAAAGCATTTTTACCCTGTTGTTGCCAGTAAAATTATCAGGAAGAAATAGCAATAGCTTTCAATGTAAAAATAAACACTGAATATAATAAGATTAATAAGATGTACTTCATTGCCTTTTCCTGTCTATAACTCTACAACGTAAAGGATTTTTCTGTGCAGGATGCTGAATTTTTATCTTCTAAATGAAAACAAATAAATAAAGTTACTTTAAATTATTTTTTTCTTTCTTTATTTTTTTTTTTTTAATGTGTAAGAAATACTGCACCAAATTGCACTGAGAATGTGCTAAAAGCAAACCAGGTTCATTGTCATCCTGGAAAGATGGTGTTCCAGGCCAATGATAAACAGAAGGGAATGTGCCTTTAGGAAGGACTTTTCTGCCCTGTGGCTGTCCCAGGCTTAACATCTGAAAGCATTGCCTATCAGGAATTGCAATTTCTTTGTTATCAAGTAATCTCAAGCAACCTGAGCACATTCAGTAAAGCTACTGTGTCTTTCTGCCAGCAGAACTCATTTCATTGCTGGATGTGAACAAGACGATCTAAATTAATGTTCAGAAATGGCAAATCAGAGAAGAGGGGTTGGAAGATTTGTACAGAAGGTCACAAAGTTTCAGGGGACTTAGTGGATGAGGGGAAGCAGATTTGACTAAAGGAAGTAATACCATATAGCAGCTTCAGGTAAGGTAAAAGAAAATTCATTGGTTGAATGGTGGAAGAAAAAAAGACCAGTAAAGGGAATAAACAGCACCACAAAATGGGCAAACAAAATGCAATGCTTGCCAAAAATAGGGCAGACAATATCATCATGTCTTGTTCAGTCAGAGGTGCTAAGAACAGTACACTCCAGCTGAGCTTGATCAATGTGGAGAAATTTAGACTCAAACAGAAAACAAATACAGACTTCTCAGCAGCTATGCATCATGTGTTCTGCATGTCCTACTCCCAAAATAGCCTGGAATTAATTTCCACACCTAGAATGGCTTAAAAAAAATCATATAAAAATATCGTACTGACTATACAAAAAAAAAAAATCTGCCTTTTACATAGAGGAATCTTTTGTGTTTAAAATGCTGGCAATTCTTAGATCTGG